TCTAAGCCATTCCCCTCATTCTGCAAAGACTGTTGAAATTGGAGGCTCTACCTGGAACTTTCATACACTGCTAGTGAGACTGTAAAATAGTACAGCCACTTTGAAAAATACACTGGTATTTTTTTTAATGACGTTCAACATATGCTTAATACACAGCCCAGAAATCCCACTCTGACATACCTGTCCAAACAAAAATGAAAAATTTTGTTCATAGAAAAACCTGTATGCAAATGTTTTTAACATTCACCTTTGCTCTTCACCTAAGGTCAGGAAAAAAGACAGAAGCCCATTCTTACCACACTATTCAACATAGTACTCAAGGTCCTAGATAGAGAAAACAGGCAAGGAAAAGAAAAAGGTATCTCAATCATGAAAGAAGAAGTAAAAATGTCCTTGCATGAAGATGATATGATCTTATACACAGAAAATCCTAAAGACTTCACCAGAAATTTGTATAATGAATCAGTGAAGTCAGTACATAATCAAAATAAAATATCAGCTGCATTTCCATACACTAATAACAAACCACCTGAGAAAGAAACCAATCCCATTAATAGCATCAAAAATAATTAAGTATTTAGGAACCAATTTAACCAAGTAGAAGAAATAGCTGTACACTGAAAACTAAGACTTTGATTAAAAAATTGAAGACACAAACAAATGGAAAGATATCCCATGTTTATGGATCAGAAGAACACTGTTAAAATGTCAACAATACCCAAAGCCATCTGTAGATTCAACGTAATCCCTGTCAAAATTAAAGTGGCATTTTTCAAAACTATAGAAAAAAAATCCTAAAATCTACATAGAATCACAAAAGACCCCAAATAGCCAAAGTAATCCTGAGAAAGAAAAACAAAGCTGGAGGCATCACATTTCCTGGTTTCAAACTATACTACAAAGCTACAGTGACCAAAATAGTATGATAGTGGCAGAAAAACAGACACATAGACCAATGGAACAGAATCAAGAGCCCCTAAATAAAACCTTGCATATATGGTCAACTAACATTTGCAAATCACTTATCTGACAAGTGGTTAATATCCCAAATATACAAAGAACTCACACAATGTAACAGCAAGAAAAAGTCCAATTTAAAAATGGGCAAGGGAACTGAATAGACATTTTCCCAAAGACATGCAAATGACCAATAGGTATATGAAAATGTGCTCAACGTCACTAAGCATCAGGAAATGCAAGTTAAAACCATTATGAGATAACATATCATACCTGTTAAAATGCCAATCACCAAAAAGACGAGATAACAAGTGTTGGAGATAATGTAGAGAAAAAGGAATCCTTGTGCACTGTTGGTGGAAACATAAATTTCCACAGCCACAATGGAAAGCAACACAGAGGTTCCCCAACAAGTTCCAAAGGAAATGAAATCACTACCTCAAAAGAGACATCTGTACCCCTGTATTCACTGTAACATTACTCATAATGACCAAGATATGGAAATAACCTAAATACTTGTCAAGAGATGACTGAATTAAAAAAGATATGTGTGCACATGCACACAGTGGAAATTACTCAACCTTGAGAGAGAAGGAAATTCTGCCATTTGCAATAGCATGGATGGATCCTTAGGGCATTATGCAAAGTGAAATAAGTCAGATAGAGAAAGACAAATCAGGTATATAATATCACTTACATGTGGAGTCTAAAAACCTGACACCTAGAAACAGAGTAGAATGATGGTTGCCAGGGTTTAGAGGGGATAGGGGAAATGGGAAGATGTTAATCAAAGGGTTCCAAGTTCCAGTTATAATACAAATAAGCTCTGGGAATCTAACGTACAGCATGGTAATAGCTAATAATACTGTATTGTATACTTGAAAGTTGCTAAGAGAGTAGATCTTAACTGTTCTCACCACAAAAAAGAAATGATAATTGTGTGATGTGACGGAAGTGTTAGCTAACATTATGGTGGAAATATTTTGCAATATATTAAGTGTATCAAATCAAACTGTTGTACACTTTAAACATAATGTTACATGTCAATGATATCAGTAAGTTGGAATAGATAAGTGTATTCCTTTTCTTTCTTTTAATCTACCTACTTGAATCTCTAACTTCCTGGTACTGGGAGACATCCCTCTGGTTTTTGCTTTCCTCCATATATATGGCCTCTAAACATCTCCCTTCTTCTAAATGCAATGATTAATCTTAAAAGATTTTTGTTCTATTTTATCCCACATGCAGAGGCATTTGAAGCAGTAGGATATTTTTAAGTATCTAGTCTACCACACTGCCAGAAGCAAGTCTGCCCTCCTATTGAAGAGCAAGACTATCTTACAATTTCATGTGTTTAACTTCCTCAATTCACTTTATCACTGAATCCTATTCCTATGAAGTACAATAATGCAGTTCTTGTATTACCCTCTTTATAGACAGCAAAACCAAAGCTCATAGAAGTTGAGATTCATTTCTTATTGTATATCCAAAATTGAATTAACATAGGTTCTGAGAATGAAAACCAAACTGTATCTTAAATCCCCCAGAACTAGGGCAATAAGAAACCCTCTGAGGATTATTCACATCCTGTATCATCTATACGTGGCAGTAAAGTGAACCATGAGACCTTGGGCATGTCACTTACCTCTCCACCAAGTCTCTAAACACCTACTTCATAGAACTGCTGTGACAATTACATGATTAAATTCACATCAGGCACACAGAAAAGCATGTGATGAAAGTAGAAAGTATTGCTTACTTTGAATAAACCATGCTTTTGGTTGCGCTGACCAAGCCATAAACTGCTTCCTGGGGGAAGGTTAGTCTCAGGAGGGTCTATCACACGTTCATAAATCCTGTAGGGACAAAGAACACAGTTATTAATAAAGAGGCTCAGAGCAGAACCAAAAGGTACAAACACATTATCTGAAGTCCTCATGGCGTTAGCTGCTGGTACGGAGAGATAAAGGCAGCAAGTGGCACCTTTCAGATGACAGGTAACATGAACGTGGAGATCTGTTTCCTGACAGCACTTGGACACATTATCTGGGCCCCTCCCAGCTCTCTCTCTTTGCCCTTTTGGCAGAGGAAGGAGGAAGAGTAACATTTCTGAGTGTCTACTGTGAGCAGTCAACTTCATACAGAGTCTAAGTATTTTGTCCACATTACAGGCGAGAAACCTGTAGAGGTTCCAAGACTCTAAACGAGTCAACCAAGTCAAGACAGGGAGCAGTCAGGCTGGGGTGAGAATCCCCATCCGTCTGGCTGCAAAGCCCATGCACCCTCCTTTGTGCTCTACTGTGCCCTGACTGGTTTTTATTCAGTTGCCACTCCTCATTCTTACAATAACCTGCTATACCTCTCTCAACGAGGGAGCAGCAGCTACCGACATGATAGTTTGCTTAGTCTACAAAGTCAAGTAACTGAAATCATCATTCAGTCAACAAATATTTATTGCATGTTTTTTATGCTCCAAGCTCCATATGAAGCAACAGTAGACAGACCAATAAACCAGATGTATGAAGTTGCACCTTCATAGAGTAAAAGAAAAAAATCCGCATGTGAAGAAAATCATCATATGACATACAAAGACATACAACTAATACAGAGGAGGCCACAGTCCCAGAATCTCTGAAAGCACTTACAGAACCTGATGAACAACTGAATTATCTCTGTTTTTCTGCCCTCCCAAGCCCCATGTTAGCCAATCACAAATCTTGAAATTTGTGCTCTCTTTAGAAAAAGTCCCTGCAACCACCAGCTGATCAGAGGCCTCCACCTCACCCCTGGCAAGTACCTTCCAGCACCTGAGTACTGAGAAGGCGAAGGAAGAGCTTGCCTAAGAATTGAACTTGTCTCCTCAAGATGCTCAGGAGATTCTGAGTGGGGTGTGACACAGGGACCACTGGTGAACTTCCATTCCTCGTGCTGGCGCTGTCCATTCCTTTCATCCCTCAGTCCTTACTCAGAGCAACTTCGGGAAGAATCATTGCCAGACAGGTCCAGAGGTCTAACAGCTAATCAGTTCCCCCGGCTGGGATGGAGCTAACTGCCTCCTGCCAGAGGGTGATGTATTCTCCAGTGGCTCTCTGTAGGAAAGTGCGGAAGAACTGAAGGATTGTCCAGTTGTGTCAAGGCGAGTGAATGATTGCAAGGCTGTTGCAGCTGGGAGCTGTCACGCTGCAGCCTTACATCTTAGCTGCCTCGTCCATTACTCTCCTAACCCCCACCAGACATATGCTGTCTCCTAACAATACATGCAAGGTCTGCAACTGACAAAGCACTAAATGTATCGGGTCCTTCTCTACTAATTATCTTTCCCTTATAAATGGATGCTCAAACATATGCAAGGAAAAATAAGTTTCTCTGAAAAAGACAGGCTGTGTTTTCTGCACAAGAATGAACTTTTATATGTTAGAAGGAACAATTTTAGATGAAACACCAGAAGACACTGCATACTTCCTAAAAAAAAAGGTTTTTTTCCCCTAATGTTAGTGAAAAACTAGAAACCAGCCAACTTTACAACAGAAGAGAAATGCATACATTATAGCAGATCAGCCTGATGGAATTTACAGCCGTCGTTAAGAGTGATAAATATGCAGGTTATGAAATGTGGGAAAGTGTATACAACATAATTCTCACCAGAGGAATGTGGAATGCAAAATTATTTATGCATTATGGAGATAACGATGCAAAAATTATGTTCAACGTTGGTGAATTTCAGAGGAGGCCAGGAAGAAACAGAAACCGCTGTATTTAGATGAAGAGGCAGAAGTGTAATTTTCTGCGAGGTTGTTTCACGAAGAAATTGTAAATATTTTCAAACTTTTTATCTTAACCTTCATTTTAAAACATTTGCATCTGTCACAGTGAGAAGCTTTCCATTTAAATACTTTCTTTGTGGTTTTCAATGTGCTAGGAGGTGAGCTCCAGTGAGCAAAGGTGGCCTTTATCCAATGTTGATTAAGTGCATGAAGGGAGGAACCATCAGAAAGATCAAATTCCAAACCTT